CCAGCCTCCAACCCCAGGAATGAGACCTTGATTGGAATTGAACCTGGGACCTTTTAGTACACAGGCCAATGTTCTACCCATTAAGTCAAGCAAGCTATGGTTCCATTGCTTTTTAGAGAGAGTGGAAGGGAGGGAGAAAAAGAGGAGGAGGAAAAGAGAGAGTAAGAGAAAAACTGATGTGAAACATAAATTGGTTGCCACCTGTGCAATCCCAGTGGACCAAGGATGAACCTGTAATCTAGGTACCAGGAATTGAACCTGTGACCCTTCAATGCACAGGCCAATGCTCTAACTACTGGAAACTCCTCACAGGGCTCTCGTTGGGGTTTTGATGGGGATTGCATTAAATCTGTATATTACTTTGGGTAATATTAGGTCTAGTAATAATTAATGTCGTTTTCTAATACTTTTTTTAAAAATCGAATTTATTTAAACAATACAACAAAATTTAATCAACAATATAGTTGCCGTTGTTTTCTACTACTTGTGACCAATGCTTAGGAAGCATTTTAATCCCTCTGTTGTAAAATTCTTGTGATTTTGATGCAAAAAATTCGGTCAATGCATTTTTGAGGCATTCTTCATTATTAAATTTTTTTCCAAGAAGAAAGTTTTGCAAAGAACGAAACAAATGGTAATCGGAAGGGGCAATATCAGGAGAATATGCAGGTTGAGGGAGAACTTCCCATTCCAACTGGCGCAGTTTTTCAGCAGTGATTCTTGCAGTATGCGGTCGTGCGTTATCGTGGTGAAGAATTACGCCCTTCCGATTAATCAGCGCGGGTTCTTTTACTCTTAAAGCTTGGGCTAACCTTTCCAATTGGGCACTATGCACTGCACTTGTAATGGTTTGGTTAGATGGTAAAAGTTCATAATGAAGAATTCCTTTAAAATTCCACCAAACACACAACATCACTTTTTTCGCATGCAAGTCAGATTTTGGCGTGGGCTGCGGAGCCTCATTTTTGTCCAACCATTGAGGCTGCCTTCTCAAATTAACATACAGCACCCATTCTTCATCTCCAGTAACAATTTGTTCTAAAAACGGCAAACGGTTTTGACGAGAGAGGAGCGAACTGCAAATTGTGACTCTTTGATTACGGTTGTTGTCGGTCAACTCATGAGGAACCCATTTTCCAAACTTTTGGACTTTGCCAAGTGCACGCAATTGATTGGAAATTGTTTTCTGTGAACAATTTAAAGTTGTTGCAAGCTCTTGTTGGGTAATTTGAGGATTTTGCACCAAAAGAGCTTGAAGAGCTTCTTGATCAAAATTGGACACACGGCCTCGACCACTCTTGTCATCTAACGAAAAATTTCCCTCGCGAAATTTCTCAAACCAATGCTGGCATTTTCTGGCGCTAACTGCATCTTGACCAAGAGGACTACAGATGTTTTTTGCAGCCTCACTTGCTTTTCTTCCTAATTGGAACTCGTAAAGCATGTAGTGCCGAATATGCTCTTCATCCGCCATCTTCTTAGCCCTAGTTTTGCAACGAAAACCAAACCAAACACAAACTTTTTCAAGCAAAATTTGTTAATTGCACTTCACACGTTCTGTAGATACCACGTGTTTGAAGGTTATGTCAATACAAGTCAACGCCAAGCAAGATTTTAAACGAATGTTAAAAAACGACATTAATTATTACTAGGCCCGATATGACCATTTTAACTATGTTGACTCTTCCAAACCATGAACACTGAAGATTTTTCCATTTCATTGTGTCTTTTTAAATCTCTAATCTCCAAAATTTACAACTTAATAAAAGATAAAATACAACTTAATAAAAGATTTTAAAAAATCCAATGAAAAAAATAGGCAAAGAGCCTAAATAGACACTTTCGAAAGACGGCCTACAATAGGCCAAGAGTAAGGTGACCAGACGTCCTGCTTTTGGCGGGACAGTCCCGATTTTTAACAATTTGTCCCGCCTCCCGCAGCGTTTTAAACAAGTCCTGATTTTTGGAAAGAATGCATGACAAGCTAGGTAATGGTGGGAGAACAGGAAGGGAATATACGGTTTTCGGTGGCCATGTGGCTATTTAGCCAGTATATGAGTTTTATATTATTTTTGTTAATTTTATAATGTTAAACTTTAATAATAACAAATAATTGTTGAGAACTGATTATCAAGAACTGCTTATCAAAGTTCTCCTTGTTGATCACTTGTTAGAATTTGACCACCATTGTTTGGACTTAATGAACAATGGCATTTTTCAGGATTGGCAACAATGAAAACATTTTGTAACTCTCTCTCAGACGATATACATTGTAATGCATGCTAGTAAGCTAGTTAAACAAGTGATGTCATTACAAATCAGCTATTCAGACAATTTAGGTAAGTAATTTGTTTATTTCATAAATACATAAATTTTCTTGAATTTAGCAGACAGTACTTGTATTTTTACATTTTATAGTGATGGCAAAAAGTCTAGCGCTGGTCTTGAAAGTGACATTTACAACTTATATGACAATTAAGTGTTGAGACTTTGAAAGCCATTTTATGTGTGAATATATAATTTAATAAATTCTTGTGAAAAATTTCATAACCTTTCACACGACAGCAATCTACTAAAAAAATTCACTCAAATGAGAAATTTGCCAAAGAATAAAATAATACTATACATATTTTTATTTATTATATTTGTAAATTGTACTTATGTTGAAATTTTAAAAAATATATTACAATACTATTTTTGCCTTCTATGAAAATTTTTGTTGCTCCATATAGACCAAATTTTAAATCAAGACCCCCCCCCACCCCAGTCAATGGTGTCCCGCTTTACCAATGTTAAAATACAGTCACCTTAGCCAAGAGACATATAAAAACATGCTCAAAGTCACTAATCATCCAAGTGATGAAAATCAAAATGACAATGAGGTACCTGTCAGAATGGCTACCATCAATAAATTGACAACAAGTGCTGGAGAGGATGTGGAGGAAAAGGAATCCTTGTGCACTGCTAGTGGGAATGCAGATTAGTGCAAACACCGTGGAAAACAGTATGGAGTTTCCTCAAAAAACTAAAAATGGAACTCCCATTTGACTTAGTTATCACACTTCTAGGAATATGGTATATCCCAAGAAATCAGAAACACCAATCAGAAAAAAAATATGAGCACTCCTATATTCATATCAGCACAATTTACAATAGCTAAGATTTGGAAAGAGCCTAAGTGTCCATCAGCAGATGAGAGGATTCAAAAACTATGGTACATCTATACAATGGAATATTATGCTGCTATAATAAAGAAGGAATTCTTATCATTCGTAACAGCATGTTGGACATGGAGAACATTATGCTAAGCATAATAAATCAGAGAAAGATAACTATAACATAATCCCACTCATTTGTGGAATATAATGTACAACATAAACTAATGAATAAAAATAGAGACAGAAAAGCATGGAACAGATTGTCAAACTTCAGAGGGAAGGGGGGTTGTGGTGGTTGTAAAAGATCAACCAAATGACACGTATGCATACATATAAGCAAAACCAATGGACACAGACACTAGGAGGGCAAGGGCATTTGCTGGGGTATGGGGGTGGCCAGGGAGAGGTCAATGGGGGGAAAGGGAGACATACATAATACTATATGTAATACTTTAAACAATAAAGAATACACACACATTATATATATATATATATATATATATATATATATATATATATATATATATATGTGTGTGTGTGTGTGTGTGTGTGTGTGTGTGTGTGTGTGTATATATATATATATATATATGTATATATATGTATATTCCTCTCATCAAACAAAAAAAAATGGTTATTCTGTGAGTGGATGAATATGTGACTAATCTTATTGAGTAAACATTTGGCAATATATACTTGTATTACATTGTACATCTTAAACGTATACAATATTACATGTCAATTATATCTAAATAAAACTGGGGGAGAAGGCCAGGCACCTGAGAAAATAATTTGAGGAATTTTGGTGTCAGGAACCTAGTTCAAATATTTGGGGACATAGCACAATCAGTGATAAAAATGAAACTTGAAATGGCACTGAATACACTTTAAGCCAATGTATATTGTTGAGCCTAAATCCATATAAGCATAGATAATTTTGATTCCATAAATGGAAAGAAGTTGGCACAGAATAGTCATGAAAGGATGGGACACACAGAAGTAACATGTACTATTCTAGTAGTGGTTTTACTAATCTTGCCTTCTACTGACAAGCATCTGTATATTAAACACAGAATTTGGTTCCATATTTATGTATTGCAGGTTGACCATTTATTTCTATCAACACCACCAATATAATCTCTATAGGATCTTGTTAGGAGTTAACAATTTCAAGGCAACCTTTCTCTCTCCTTCCCATTGGCTATGCTATAATAAGATTCTCAATGCCTAAAGATGTCCTAATTCTAAATCAGTGTGGCAAAGCCTTTGAGTTTTCCCTAGAGATTTATAAAAGGACTCAAATTCTGTTTCATTAAAAGAAAGAGGATTTTCCCCATGACTGGTTATCTATTAGTGAAAATGCATCTGCTCTATTATTGCACCATCATGCTTCAGAACTAAAAGCATTGCTTGAGCAGTCCAAATTTCCCATGAATCTAAGATTAAAGATCTGGATTTATATTCTTGTTCTGTTGTATATTAATAGTTTCCTTTTAAAAAAAATCATTTCTTCATTTATAAAATAGAGTTAATTTTGTCAAATTCTAAAACTCTAGAAACTAAAAGGGCAATTATTAGAAAACTTTATTTATTTTATTTTTAAAAATATATATTTTATTGGTTTTGTACAGAGAGGAAGGGAGAGAGATAGAAAGTTAGGAACATCGATGAAAGAGAGTGATCGATCAGCTGCCTCTTGCACACCCCCTACTGGGGATATGCCCACAACCAAGGTACATGCACTTGACCGGAATCGAACCCGGGTCCCTTCAGTCCCCAAGCCAACACTGTATCCATTGAGCCAAGCCGGTTTCAGCTATTAGAAAACTTTAAATAAAACCTCACCTGAAGTGGCAGAGAGTCATTGATGTTGTTGAAGTCATTGTCAAAAACAATGGCAGCTAGCACATTTCGAGATCTATAGTCATACTTCAAGTACGTCTCAAACTCACTTTCTGCATGAAAGCCATGAACTGTAGAGAGGAAAAGTGTTCACTTAAAAATGTCTGATAATCCCTCATGTGGGGGGAGATACTACTTCACAGGGACAAAATTTTGTCAAAATATTATAAGTTTAAAAACACTGTTTCTCAAATATTGCTATCATAACTACTTAATGGGATTCGGGGTTCAACACAATTTTAGGTATTTTATAAAGTTCTACTACAATTTTAAATAATAATAATTATAAAGCATATACAGTAGGCAAAAGCAGGTTTAGAATTGTTCATATGGAAAATAATACAATAATCTTACCTAATAATAGACAAACATGTAAATTGACCATATCTCCTCTACACCACCAGCCAATCAGGAATGATGTGCAAATTAAACCAAAAAAGATGATGGGTAATTTGCATTTAAGGCGCCAAGTGACAGGAAGGGCAGGATGCAGGCGTTCTGCCCCACCCCTAATCTCTCAGGGCTTCTGGGCAGCGTGGGAAGGCGGAGCTGGAGCAGAAAGAGGCAGCTCTGGGGCAGGAGAGGAAAGGGGCTGGGCCGGAGTGGAAAGGTGGTGCTGGCAGCCAGGGAAAGGAAAGCCCATTCTAGCACGAATCTTCCTGCATTGGCTTCTTGTTAATAAATAATAATACAAGAATAAACTTTGTGTTTCATGTACTCACAACTGTAAACCTAGTTTTGCCCACCCCTGTATAAAGGTAAGTCATATTCAACAAGAAAATGCAAATCACGAACACAATGAGATACCACTTCATATCTATTGAGATGGCTACAATAAAAAAGATAGATGACAACAAGTGCTGTTGAGAATGTTGAAATATTGGTTCCTCCATACACTGCTGACCAGATATAAAATGGTACTTTAAAATAAGCCTGTCAGTCCCTCAAAAAGTTAAACACAGAGTTACCACATGAGGTAGTCATTCTACTCCTAGGTGTATACCCAAAATAAATGAAAACATATGTCTACAGTAAACTAACAGATGCATAGTCACAGAAGTACAATTTATAAGAGCTCAACTGTATAAAAAATGCAAATGCCAATCAACAATAAAGGATATACCAACTGGATACAGTATATTCACACAATGGGACATTTAACAACAAAAAGGAATGAAGTAATGATACATGCTACAAAAAGGATAAACTCTGAAAACATTATACTAAGTCAAAGAAGCCAATCATGTTGAAACCGATTTGGCTCAGTGGATAGAGCGTCTGCCTGTGGACTGAAAGGTCCCAGGTTCGATTCCAGTCAAGAGCATGTACCTTGGTTGAGGGCACATCCCCAGTGGGAGGTGTACAGGAGACAGCTGATCGATGTTTCTCTCTCCTCAATGTTCCTATTTCTCTATCCCTCTCTCTTCCTCTCTGTAAAAAATCAATAAAATATATATTTAAAAGAAACAAAAAACAAAGAAGCCAATCACAAAAAATTACATATTGCATTTATATAAAATCAATATAGAAAGGATATATATAAACATTTTATATAAAAGGTTTATAATAGACAAATGTATTTTGAAAGAAAGTAGATGTTTTCCTAATCTTGGTGAAGATAGGAAATAGTCGTGTCATGACTGAAGGTTATGGGACTTATTTTTGATGAAAAAAAAATGCACTAAAACTAACTGAAGTAATGGTTTCATAATTCTGGAAATATGCTAAAGCCACTGAATTGTACACTTTAAATGAGTAAATGGTATGTGCATTAATTCTCAAAAAAGTTACTAGGTTTTTGATTTTTTTTTGTGTTTTTTATTGTGTTTGTGTGTTTTTGTGTTTTTTTTTTGTAAATCAGAAGATGGAGATAACTTAAAAGCATGCTAAAAAAACAACAACAACATTGTTTGTGGATCAATAACTGTATTGAAATACCAGAAAAAAGAGTCAGTGAAAATAGATCAGCAGAAATTACCTAATGGAAACAAGAGAGAAAAATTTTTGAAAAGAAGTTGAATAGAGCCTCTTTTGGGAAATACAAAATGTATGAAGCATTTATGTCTTCATAGTCCTAAGAGAAGAGAAAAAAGGTCATATTGAAAAACAATTTTTAGACATAATGCCTAAAATTCTCTAGATTCAAAAGGCTCAGTGAACTCTGTACAGAATAAATCAAACCCATGCTCCTACATATCATAATCTAACTTTTGACAAATAAAGAAAATGTCTTAAAAGCACCTAGAGAGAAATGACACATTATATATAGAAAAATAAGGATTCAAAGTATCACAGGGTTTTTTTTGTTTGTTTGTTTTGTTTTGTTTTGTTTTTGTTTTTCCCCTGAGACCAAGGTCAAAAGAAAGTGGCAAATATTTGTCTTAAATGTTGAAAGGGAAAACTGTCAATCCAGAATTTTATAACAAATGAAAATAACCTCAAGACAATGAAGTTGAAATAAATACATTCTCAGATGAAGGAAAAAAAAAAGATATTTTGTTACTAATATACCTGCTTTAAGAAATTTCTTTAAAAATAAGGAAAATTATATCAAAAGAAGACTTGGAACTTTGAGGATGAAGGAAGAGCCACAGCCATGGTAAATATGTGAGAAATAGTTTTCTTAAGTTCTTTAAAATGTGTGTGACATTTTATAACATTTCCTGGTAATGTTTTCAACTTACGTAGATTTGGAAACTGCAACATAAAGAGAAATATATAAAGGGAACTATATATATATATATATATATATATATATATATATATATATATATATAAAGTCATTTAACATTATGATAAGTGGTAAACTAGGCAGAGTGCAAAAAGTAAGTATGCATATTTTAACTCCAAGAGCAACCATATATATCAGAAGTGTAACTAATCCATTTTTTCTTTCATGGATTATACATTTGGTGTCATATTTGATAATTTTTCAACTAACTCTAAGTTGCAAAGATTTTTCTCTCAAAATTTTGTATCATTTTACTTTTATAACTGATTAATTTTGATGCAATTTTTTTTATTTTTTATTTATTTTAATATATTTTATTGATTTCTTATGGAGAAGAAGGGAGAGAGATAGAGGGTTAGAAATGTGGATGAGAGAGAAACATCATCGACCAGCTGCCTCTCGCACACCCCCTACCATGGATGTGCCCGCAACCAATGTACATATGCCCTTGACCGGAATCAAACCTGGGACCTTTCAGTCCGCAGACCGACGCTCTACCACTGAGCCAAACTGGTTTCAGCTTGATGCAATTTTTATTGTTTTGTTTATTGATGTCCAATTGTTCAGCACATTTGTTGAATAATTATCCTTCCACTGAAGTCTTTTGCACCATTATAAAAAATATTTTGGGCTATTTGTGTAGGTCTATTACTGGGCTCTTTGTTCTATGTGTCTATTTCTCTACCAAAAGCACAGTGTCTTTATAGCTACAATTATGTCTTAAAATTGTAATTTTAAGGTTAATTCCTCTAACTTTATTATTTTTTACATTAGTTCTATAAAAATTAAGGATAATCTTAATTTCTAACCTCTTATACTGATGTTTAAATTCCTCTTCGTGTTCTCAATGATCTCATTTATCGCATTAATATTAGAAGGCACGTAAATCAATTCCCACTCTTGAGGATTTTTGAGGAAAGAAGGCAGATCACTGACGGGAATTGGATTATAATATCGAGGTCCAAAAATGTTTATATTCCTAATTGAACAGCTTATCAAAATCAATATTGGAAATACTGCTGCTGTTAGGACTTCAAATAATGAATTAATGTATTGCCTTCTCTAGAAGAGGAACAAAAGATAGTGTTAATGAAGAGTGCACATTCAATGCTTATGAATAGTTTATTATTAATATATTCTGCTAATTTAACACTAGAAAATACTAGGGTTTCCTGGTCTTTCTTGTACCATCCCCATCCCTCTCCATTACCAATCTTCTTATAGATCAGGCTATACTATTGATTAATATAGTTTTGTAGGTTTGGAAGAACTACCTACAGCTATTAAATTGATTTTTTAAAACACAAAAACACACATATCCTGAATTGCAACAGGCTGGCATTTATAGATATTTTCCATGAATGCTTTTACCTACCTTTAAGGTAAAATTTTTCCATAAAAGCATGACAAATTGATTGAATGCCATGAAATCCATTCTTCCACAAAGAGTGTATATTCAACTTCAAGTATGGAGAAAATGTTTTTTAATGTTAAGTTACCTAATAATGTGAAGATCAAGCAAATAATAGCATTACTCCTTTCTCCCAATTTTCTCCTTACTCAGACTTAAAGATTAATACAATAACAATTATATATTTGAGATAAAGAAAATTATATTGTTTATTTTTTTCTACCTATTAATTTACTTAATATCTAATGAAATTCCAATATGTTTAAAACACAAGACAGTAAAGAAATAACAGTAAGAAATGGTTCAATTTCTCCAGAACCTGATGTTCCCTATCCTAGTTTCTAGGACCAGATAGAACCATTGGTGAATTCTACCTAACATCTAAATAACAGTTAATTCCAATCCTCTTCAAAGTTTTCCAAAACAATTATAAAGAACACTTCCAAATTCATTTATATTGATACCAAATCCAGACAAGGACCCTACATGAAAAATAAACAATGTGCTAATATAATATCTCTGATAAACACAGATGAAAAATCCTCAATGTATTCAAATTGAAGTCAACAGTACATTAAAATCATACATCATGATCAAATGAAATTTATCTCTGGGATGCAAGGATGGTTCAGCCTATGAAAATCATTAGATGTAATATAACACATAACAGAATGAAGATTTAAAATCATCTAATCATCTCAATAAATGCAAAAGAAAAGCATTTGACAAAATTCACTCTTTCAGAATAAAATCATTCAACAAATTATATATACAAAGAAAATTCCTCAGCAAAATAAAGGTCATATATGAGAAGCTCACAGCTGGCATGATACTCAAAAGTGAGAAACGGAAAGCTTTTTCCTGGTAGATCTAAAGTAAGGCAAGGATGCCCACTTTGCCACTTCTATAGAACATAACACCATGTTTCCCCGAAAATAAAACATCCTCTGAAAATAAGACCTACTTACAGGTTTCCTTCTGAGTGAAATATAAGGCCCCCCCCCAAAAAAAAAATAAGGCCCCCCCTAGGCTCTGTCTCAGAATGAAAATTAATTTACCATAAACTGGTCGCTAGGGCCACCCTGACTGGCATCTAGCAACCAGTGAAGTTACACGGAGTCCTGACGTCATTGCTGTGTGGAGGTGAGTGGAGGTCTGAGTGAGCAGTAAGCGTGGGGCAGGAGAGAGGAGGAGACTTTTGCAGATGCTTGTAGAAGAACAGGAGGATTAGAGTGGACGGGACTTGGCGAAGGTGGTGAGTGCTGGTCTGTCTCTGGTGACACTACCTGATGCTCGCTGCCACCCTCATAATGACTGAAAGTTCTCAGTCAGTGGCAGACTCTGCTCCAGCCTAGATCCAGGCCCCAGCAAGCCCAGTGACAGTCCCCAGGCAGGTACCAGGGGGTAAATGTCTAATAAAGAGGGAGGGGGGATGTCTGGTGAAGGTGTTCAGTGGCACAGGAGTGAAGGGAGGGAGATCACTTAAAATGACACAGGAGGATCAGAGGGGGCAATCAAAAGGACACAGGAGGATCAAAAGGGGTTAATAAAATGGTAATCCCCCCTCTGATTCTCCTGTGCCATTTTGATTCTCCCCTCTGATCCCCCCTGTGTCATTTTAAGTGATCCCACTCCCCCCACCTGATACCCCAATTTTATTTTTTTTTTTACCCCTAGAAATGAGCGCAAAAAGAAAAAGCTACTCTGTGGAGTACAAGAAAGGAATCGTGGAAGACTCTTGGGGCCAAAATCTTACTGCTTTCTGCAGAGAGAAGATGTTGAGTATCCGATTGGTCCGAAAATGGCGAGCAGAGTACGGTAACCTCATTGAATAACTGGACAAGGGAAATGCTAAAAAGCACAATTGTGGATCAGGATAGCAACCATTATTTTCCGAGCTGGAAGACCTGATCTGTGAATGGGCTGTTGACAGGAGAGCAAAGGCTTTGGTTGTGAATAGGGCTCAGATTCAAGAATTTGCCCTTGCAATGGAACCACAGTTTGACATAGGCCCCTAAGACTTCAAAGCATCACAACGCTGGCTGGATAATTTCCTTCAGCGAAGTGAAGTGTCTTTAAGAAGATCTATTGGTACAACTTTGTTTAGGTTGGAAGATACTCAAGTTATTAAGCGAGCACTTGCATTTAATTCCTTTATTGATGATGCTGACTTCTCTAAATACAATCTTTCCAACATGATTGCTAGGGATTAAACTGCAGTGTTTATAGGCCAATCATCTCAAACAATTAAACAGCAGGGTGCCTCCTTAGTGTACATTCCCTCTACTGCTTAAGAAAGTGCATGTGTTTCCTGTATTTTGGCAATTCGTCTAGATGGCACTTAAATCCCACCTTTAATCATTTCTAAGGGCAAGAAGGAAAAGATTGAACATGTTTTGGAGGTTTTTATTCTTGAAACTGAAAAAGCCTGGGCCACACAAGCAGTTATAAGGAAGTGGGTCAATTTAATGCTGCCGCTTGTTATGCGAGGGAGCCAAAGAGGTCTGCTAGTCTGGGATGCAGCCAGCACTCACCGTGCTAAAGACATGAAGACACTTCTTCATGAAAGAAAAATAGATCAGATAATGATTCCTGCAGGAATGACGGCCTATCTCCTGCCAGCCTGACTCTTGATATTGCAATAACAAGCCATTCAAAGACAATTTGCGCATGGAAATTAATGACTACACTGAAAATAGAATGGAGAGAAATCAGCGTGGAAACTTTGTGAAACCTAAACTGCAAGAAGCTGTGACTTGGGTGAAGAATTCATGGGAGAAAATCACTGACAGTTGCATTGCAAATGCACTGCGAGCAGGCTACCTTGACAAGAAGTACTCATTTAAAGACAGTGCTATTGCTAAACATGAGAGATTTGGTCCACTGATTCTGAAAGAAATGGAGTCACAAGAAACTCATCAGGAAATTCAGGAATTGGATTGTTATGATGATGTTCCAGAAGATGAGGACATGATTGTCATTGAATAAATGAGTAAATTCTTGATAGTGTAGGATTCACAGTTTGTCTGGTTTGTGTTGACAACTACCGTACTACCGTACCATATACAGGTAATAAATTTCCTTTATTTTCATTTAACAATAAATGTGTACCGTATTCTTCTTCATGGAAAAATAAGACATCCCCTGAAAATAAGACGTAGCGCATCTTTGGGAGCAAAAATTATTATAAGACACTGTCTTACTTTCGGGGAAACAGGGTACAAGCAGTCCAGATAGGAACAATTATGGAAGATTATCAAATACATCCAAATAAATAAGTAAAATTGTTTCTGTTTCATATGGCATAATCATTTATACAGAAAACACTAAACGCTCCACACAAAAGAAAAACAACAAAAAACCCCCCACAGTATTAGAACTAATAAAACTAAAATAACTAATTAAATGAATTCAGCAAAGTTATACGACAGAAATTAACTAGAAAAATAAAGTTGAGTTTCTAGAGACTGATAACATAACTGAAAAGGGAATTAAGAAAACAGTCCCATTCACATTAGCATCAAAAACAATAAAATATTTAGAAAAAAAACTTAACCCAAGAAGTGAACATTTTGTACATTGAAAATTATAAAACTGATGAAAGAAATCAGAGCTGACATCAGTAAGTGGAAAGATGTCCTGTGTTATAATAATGTATTGGAAAAATTGTAATTGTTAAACTGTCCATATTACCTAAAGGGATCTACAAATGATATACAATCCCTATCAAAATTCCAACAATTTTAAAGCCAAAATAGAAAACAACCCTAAAGTATACATAGAGGCTCAATAGAAAAAGCAATCTTGGGGAGGCAGTGGGGGTGAGGGGTAGCTGAAGGCATCACACTTCCTGATTTCAACATATATTAAAAAGCTACAATAATTAAAATAGGATGGTACTGGCAGAAAAACAAATACATAGACCTGTGGAACAAAAAAATATCATGAAAAATAAGAAGGTCCAAACACAACATAATGAACATGTATGTATTATACATACAGACATACATATACACATAGACATGAATATATATATATATGGTTCAGTGCACAAAATTTTGCGAGACCCAGACCCACAGTGCCGCAAGACCCATCAATGCATCTCCTGGTGACCAGTTATTTGGTCATTATGGCGTTATGGCTCTATAGCCACTGTCCTTTTATAACACACACACACACACACACACACACACACACACACTAGGGGCCTGGTGCATGAATTCATGCATGGGTGGGGTCTGGCTGGCTCACTCCAATGGGGACTGATCAGAGCCAAGTGAGTGGATAGGAGAGGAGGGGATGTGGGAGGTTGGAGCGTAGATTGGGGCCCCAATCCGGCCAAGTGGCTGCTGCAGTGCACATCAGAGTGACAGGTTGTTCTAGTCGTTCCAGTCATTCCTGTTGCTTGGCATATATATATATATATATATATATATATATATATATATATATATATATATATTTTTTCCCTACACAAAAATTTGTATAACACCCATGAAATATTTATGAAAAATGCTCATAGTCTTTACATAAAAGCAATAGGCAAATAAATGAATTCTGTAAAGTAGCAGGATACAAAATAAGTAGCCAGAAGTCAGTTGATTTTTATACACTAATAATAAACTATCAGAAAGGAAAACTAAGAAAATCATCCCAATTATCAGAAAAGATACCTAGAAATAAATTTAAACAAGGATGTAAAAGACCTGTATTCAGAAAATTATGACACTGAAAAAAGAAATTAATGAAGATACAATTAAGTGGAAGCATGTACCATGTATGCATTGGAGCATACTAGTATAACATAACAAACTTTCCATAATACACAAAGCAATATACAGATTCAATACAATTCCTATCATGATACCAATGCGGCATCACACAGAAATAGAACAAATATTCCAAAAATTTATATGGAACCACAGAAGAGCCTGAATAGCCATAACAGTTTTAAAAAAGAAGGACAAAATTGGAGAAATCATGCTACCTGATATCAAACTCTACTATAAGGCTGTAGTAATGAAAACAGCATATTATTATAATTAAAACAAACATGTTGATCAACGGAACAGAATAGAAAGCAGAAAAATAAACCCAACCTCAATAAAGAAATGGTCAATTAATATTTGACAAAGCAGGAGAAACCAAGATGGTGGCATAGGGTAGACACCTGAATGCAGCCTACCACAACAGATTTGAATTTAGAACTGAAAAACAGGGGAGGCATTGCCCTGAAGCGCTGGAAGGCTAGCTGAGAGGAGGCTCTGCCATCTGGGAAGGAGAGAGAAGGCACGTTGAACCTCAGGAACTGTGAAGGTACGGAGAACTGTGTGCGTGAAAAGGCGCTGGCTTACTCTCTACGCGGAAAGGAAGGGCCGGACCAAGATTGCTGCTGGTTACTCCCGGCACGCAGAGAGGGCGGGCAGGGC